TGGAGGAGAGACTTCCTGAACACGACAATGCACACCGTTATTACAACTATGAGCAGAGGAACTGCCCACTGAGTGGACTTTTATTTTTAAATGTTTCTTAATCTAAAACATTTGTTTTTATTGGCTATAACCATAAAATACAAAAAGTTAGGAGGATACAGTGAAGTAGATACCTTTCCTGCTGCTGATTTTCCAGTGAGCCTGGAGCACTGTGGCTGATACACGTACGCAGCTGGGGATGCACTAGTGGGATAGAAAAAAAAGTACTTTAAAAGTACAGTACAGTAATTTGAAAGTTCAGAGGATGTGTTAAAAAGCAGTCCAGGTTTATGGTTTCATCATCAGTTCTTCCATTTTGTGACACAATGACAAAGGATTAAGATATAAGAAGAATAAGCCCTGTGTCTTGGGTTTTTGTGGTGGAGCTTAGAGGAGACACCATATGCCTGTACCAGAGGGTTATCTCTGTAGAACACTGGGGGTTCTGACTGGGTTGATACAGGAGAACAGCAACAACAACAACAATGTTCTTGAAGTGTTCGGAAAAGACTTTTTCTGATTGTCTGGATCTCTTAGTTTTTTCAGGATAACAACAGAACTTGTACACATTTGATATGGAAATGTGCACTATGTGCTGGAGCTATCATAATCAACCTGTTGGCCTGAACAGATTGGCCTAAAGATCAGACAACCGATAAGAGAATGAAAGTCCTTACACCCTAAATCCCTCACTGATCCTTGTGAACAACAGAGATCCTCATGTGAAGAGTTTCCCACATTATAGGACAAAGGAGCCCTGTCTCAGCAACCTGTTGAAATTCAAAACAATGTTTTTAGGTCAGCAGCACAGCATCTAGAACTTTCCATTTTTCTTTTTTGCTAAGAATGATAGACTGTAACAGACAGTGATCACACCAACTACCTGTCTTCTGAAAAGAAGCAGAGAACCCTAAATATATTCTGGCCAAACAAAATTATAAACTTCCAGTGGAGTGACACAATGACAGAATGGAAAATTCTCTGTCTCTTAAAAAAAGCAACAGAGATAGTTTGGATCGGAATAAGAACCTAAAAGAAAACACAAGAACATCTGGTGGTGAAAAGCGATGGAGAACTGAAGATGCTGAACCACATCTGGGGAACCATTCAAAGGTTGGCCCTAAAACAGGCAACAGAGAGGCAACATCACAACGGTTCCCAACAAAAGGCCTCTTAGAAAAGTATGCTCTAACACTGGCAGGAACTCTCTCTTTTCAGGCCACAGCAGCAGACAGAAATGTGCTCGCATTAGACATCACATACATCTGGTTTGTTAAGAATCAATAACCTCAAACTGTGGTTTAAAGGTATATCTATCATAACACGCCACACAACAGATCCACGTTCAACTAGAAATCTCAAGTACAGCTATTGGCCTCTGATCAACATTGTGATTGCTCTTCTCAAGGGGAAAAACACAAAAAGATTACAAGAAACGAAACAAACCCTGTCTGTATGTTAATAAGCTGCTTCTGTGACAACTATATAAGGCTTTCAAGTAACAAGACAAAAGAGGTTCAGTTTTCTCAAGCTGTTCTTCAGAAGAACAACTGGTGTCATGTAAAGGTTATCTGTGTTATCAGTGTTAGATAGGGTTCAAGCAAACACTGATTATCTGACCTATTTAAGGGTCTGGTCGACTTCCAATTTTGTACAAATCAGATCCAGTTAGTTTTACTTTGCAACGTATTTACTTTCCTTTCAGTAATCAGAACCAGCTACAGCTAAAATGGATAGAGTAGTTCCTTTTAAGTAGGAATGTAAAGTAAAATGGTCACATATTTCCTGGTTAAAAAATGTTCTGTCTTTGGTTTATGGTTTCACACCTTGACATCTCTCATGCAGCTGAGAAGCTTTTCAGCTTTTCATTTTCTGTGCAAGGTGCAAGTTAAAATGTATGTTGCAAGTAAAAACTAATGCTAAGTAGTGATTTTGCAAAATATATAATAGGTTTGAAGATTCAAATAAACAAATTCTAATATTTGCATGCAATAATGGTAACAATAAAATAAAATATAGCTTATGAAACTGTTTTCTGCACAGATAATATTAATAGCACATTAAGATAACAACAGCTCATCAAATTTAACATTCCTTGGGCAAGAAGCAGAGGTTGGTTAGCTGAAAATAACAAGCAAAGAAATGAGTCACTGACAGTAAATGTCTTCTGAAGATGACCTGGATTAGTTTAGTGTGCATGCCATAAATGTCAGACAATAAACAAAGATGGACTGTGTCCTGATTTGGAATCTATCCTGTAAATCACAAGTGACAAATAAATACACTTAAAACTGTATATATATATATATATATATATATATATATATATATATATATATATATATAAAGTCACAAAAACCCTAACAACTAAAGTGGGCCGGCTATCTTAATTCTAACATTATAGCTATGTTATATAAAACATTTTGCCAAAGCATTAATAAGTAAGACCCTTAAACAAGAGAAGGTTTTGCCAATTGCTGTGACCAAATAAAGATAATTTAAGACAGAAACAGGAAGCTGTTTGAAAACAGTCTGTATGGTTGAGTCAATTATTTGTTTGCCAAAATGTGACAGTGTCACTTTAGAAAGTGAAAATAATAGAGTGAGTTTGTCAACTTAATATAGACGTAAAATCATCTTGACACGTGAACCTAAATAATTTCCTTTGCATTATGTAGCGCCTAATCCGACTTAATACTTTATGTGCTGTAAGATTAACCCAAACACACCACAAAGGAGGATGTTGAGTGGACGTAAATTTAAATAAGGATATTTAGCTTTTTCAAGTACGACGGGTGATTATGACAAGAAAAGCAGTACAAAATATATCTTAGTGGATTATACTATACAAATATCGAGCCACCATGCATTTGTGCATTAATATATATTTAGTAATACCGACAAAACACTGCGTGTGTCCAAATGGAAGGGGAATAAAGAAACTGCGGAGAAACGGGCACAGTTTGAACGCACTTCGCAAACATGACAAACCCGTGTTTACTTGCCATTTAAACAAATAATACTTGGGTTAGCAAGAAGCTAGCGACCAATTCTAACTATCCAGAGAGTTGGTATCCTATTAAACTGTTGTGTTAATGTATTCTCTAGAGCCTTTCCTCGACAACAACTACTATTATAGTTCACTGTAGTACTTTAATTGTGTTTACCGTCATATACGTACGTTTTTCTAGAGTTTGACGAGGAGAATTCACACGCTAACAAAGCTAGCCTCTCCTCAGCCCCCGTAAAAGGGGGAAGTTCTGAGCTAGACCATATTTAACCAAAATTGTGGATTATTCTGGATAAAATGTAATTTTCCGCATACACCTACCTTCGGTATTATCTTGGTTTTCACTTTACTTCACCACAGATATAAAAACTGCTGCATCCATTTCTCAGTAAGCCCCAGTCGACAGTGGCAGACAGGAAACTTCGCAGGACAGCCTGGCTGCATTCCCCGACTCTTATTTCTGTTTGTGTTAAAGTCATGAGCAGGACACGACACATCCGGCAGATATTTCAAAACAAAACCACAGGGAAAGTCAAGAAATTAAAATGACTCATATTTGGTATCCCTAATACGACCGACGGCGGAATGCAGCGGTGTTTATATATATAATTTTTTTAAAAAGTTTACTTGCGCACAAATGCACAGGAAGAGCATAGCGTGTTCCCCCTGCTGACCCTGTACATGTTTTGTTTTCATTTACATTTTTTTAAATAGTTTATAAAAACCTAACAGTTAGCACTCACAAAACTGAAAATATCGAACATTATAAACGAACACGACTTTACGGCTTAAGACAATGCTAGAAGCATAATTTCCCCCAGTGTAGAGTACACATCAAGTTAAGTGATTAACCGTTTTCGTCGGTAGGTTCTGTAATTATACTTCAATCTTTCTCGACACATAAAGTTCAGCACTAATTCACAAACTGCACAAATTAATATCAATTCCATATTTTCGGTTTCCAGGTCATTTAATTCCTTAAGCCACCTATTCCATCGTGTTATTGCTTACATAAAAGTTCAAATACCCCATAGTTCTTGGGTTGGATGACATTTGGGTTACACTGCCATCTAGTGGGAAGAAATAATAGTTGCAGTAACATCGAGGCAAATCAAACCCCCGGTTCCATAACAACCAAGCCACCAATGGCCCACAACTCACCCATAAAAAACAATAATGTTCAGCTAAACATTCACATTTATAAAAAACAATAGGACATAACCAAATAAAAATATATTACTTAAGTCTTCCATGTTATTCTTAATTCATGTTTTTAATGCTCTAATTTGTGTTTTGCCTTGATTTCTTTTGCTATATATATTTGTAGCTCTTTGGTATTGCATTTTGGGTGTGTGGTTTATTTATTAATGATGACCTTAGAGAAATCATCGATTACTCAGACTCTTATTCAATTCAAAAATAAAACATGTGAAGCACTGACAAATCGTTGGTTGATAAGTGGGATGTCTTTCATGTCTGCTGATCTCGTCTATTCTGACACCTTAAAATATCACCAATCACAATGAATAAAGGCCAAAGAGTCAGAATTTTGGTCAGTGCTGTTTGTTGTTTTTCCATTTGTGTGATGATGAATTGATTCTGAAGCCCCTGCTCCCCCTCAGTCAGTGTAATTCATAACTGTTGCCCTGCAATTAGTGACTCACGAGTTTTACAAAAGTCACATGCTGTGGAAGGAGGAGGACAAGGAAGATGCTTTATCTTCATGTTCTTTCAGGGTCTCATTGTGTTAAAGGCCACATCAGAACTGTTAAAACCTCAAATACAGCAGTTATTTATGTCACTGACCAGGGCTGATCAAATCGTTTTGAAGCCTTATTTATCATATGTGCTAGACATGGAGGATCACATTCAAATATGGGTCACACGTCAAACCAGTCCTTAAATACTGTTGCCTACAGTAGGTGGCAGTATGCATCTATATTAAGACTAAAGTCCAGCCCAATATTGCAGTTTTATTCTGCATCCAATCCTTTATGATGAGATATTATAGCATTCGTTGTATAATATTTTCCACAGCATTCTGTATAATGAGCATTTTTAAAGTCCATGCACAATGTTCTGCCGACTCATTATTTTGGGTGAGAGTCTGTGAAAAATTGCTGTGGCCTTTTGCAACAAAGAGCAGATTTGGTATAGAAATGCAACGGCAGCAAATGTATCTGCACTGTTAATTGAAGTTAATCATCAGAAGGGTCAGGGTGGACACAGCTCAGTGGTAATCAGCAGCAACTAAAAATGGTCAGAATGTTGCTGAAATGTAAAAATAATAACTAAAAGTTAGGTGAAAAACTGTTTCTGTGAACTGAACATGGAAAAATGGCTAAAAGTGAAGTGTGACGATAAAAAATAAATTTAAAGTGGCCAAAACGTTTTCCCCATGCATGAATTTAAACTGTATCATAAACATGCATGAACCTTAAGGGTTTTTTTTTTAATTACCAAAAAAATAAAATCAGATTTAATGTCAACACCAATTGGATGTGAAGTTGTTCACTCAGATCCACCCTGTAACCAATTTAAATTCTGCTCCACAGTGTCACCACTTAAAATGTGTAATCACGACTTAATGGGTCATTTATTAGCTATTGTGACATTTGAGGATGGCTCTCAGGGATTCATCTTGCGTCAATCGTTGAATTTATCAAAAAATAAAAAATAAAAAAGGTTCTCACATCCGCATGTCTGCTAAGTTGAAGAGACAGACGTCCCCATGGAAACAGAAGTTCCATAAACAGAGTTCCTGAGTAGACAGAAAGGGATGGGGGAAATATAGACAGTTCTGAAAAGTTCGGTCCAAAATTCATGGTCATGTCAGAAACCAGGAGATTTGAACATAATGACAGGGTGATTTTATAAATTGAAAATGTTCTGGTTTTACCTGGCTCTACATTCTTAACTACTCATGACTCACCTGTAACCTTGACGCAACAGAGGTATTTTCTGTGCTCACACTGTCAGCCTTAAGCTTTTCTTCCTTGTGTGAATGAAAAAAAAAAGCATGAATGAATAAAAGCAGTCATTAGACAATGAGGGTGACTCAACTCTTTGGCGCTCCCTGCCCACAGGAAGGAAAGATGTACAAATTAGGCAACATAAAATCCATGTTCTTTAGCTAAAGAAATCCTTCAGTGCTATAAATGGTAGCGATAACTAAAGAAGATGAGACAGTGATTTACCCCTGAAGGTCTCGTACTTGGGTTATATTTTCCTCCTGTAACCTGGTGGCTCATTTTGCCATCTTATAGTCAGGGCGACTCCATGCCATGTCTCTACAATGGGCCTCTCATTGATGCTCGAGCCACCTGTGGTTCTCTGGACATGGGTTCCGTGCGCAGGAACATCCGTGCGTCTAAAATTAGTTCTTGGACTTCACGCTCTGCCATCAAAGATAATTACCATGGATGTGTAGCCATTGGCCTATTCTTAGGACGCTGTATTTAGAGAGTGCAGTGATTTCCGACTTGGGGCCAACTGCAGCTGGAGAGCAATAAATCATTAGATAAGAAATGGACTTCCTAAAATAGATGAACGGGTTTGATGAATACGTCAGGTGACTAATTAATACCAAGGTCTTTTGGATGTTACCTCATTAGTTTCATCACACAGTAGTCACTGTTTGCAAATATTGTATTTTATAGGTGTACACACTCTGAGTCAGAAATACTTTATGACCCCCAGGTGGAAATTGTTGGCATTACAGCTGCTTTGGCAAAACTTTTTTCCTCTTTGACTCAGCCTTGTTTAATCATGAACATATTTCACTGTACTGTCAGGCTGTTAGTCTCCTTAAAGTCCTCCTACTTAAAGGAACCACCGTTTAACTTCTGTCTCCACGCTGTAAAAGGTGATATTTTTCTTGTCAGGGAAAACAGTAATAAGGATCACAGTCAAAAACAACGTGTTGGTGGTAATGAATAAAAACAAGTTGATAATGAGCACATCAATTCATTGTGTGGATGATGGGTAACCAGGCACGTCAGAGAGCCGGCAGCAGCCACAGTCCTCCCTGTGGTCAGGTACAGCAGATAAAGCCAATTTGTGCAGATGGAAATGTAATTAGCTTGGAAAAGGAGTCTGGTGTCAAAGTGAACGTTCTACCAATGAAGTCAGGCAACAGGTCTTTATAGAATATTTGCTTTTCTTCACACGTCCAATCACCTTAAATTATGGGACTCTGGATTAACAACAAAAATGTACCAAACTCAAACCAAAAAGTTC